TTTGTAGTTAGTAAATATCTTGGGAGGCTATCTTGAAATTTTGGATTTTTTTTTTATCCTCACCCGAGGACATTTTTTCATTTTTTGTTCAGATAGAGTGGGAGGGGAAGAGAGAGAGAGAGAGACAGACATCGACGTGAAAGGGACACATCGAGTGGCTGCCACCCCACACGACCGACCAGGGCCAGGGACAAACCGCAACCTAGGTACGTGCCTTTAGGGGGAACCGAACCCGGGTCTCTCTGGACCGCAGGCCGATGCTCTAACCGCTAAGCCAAACTGGCCAGGGCTAAATTTTAGATTTTTTAAACTTTGTTCAATTAAGTAAATTTTAAGTACAGTTTTATGGACACAGATTTAAGTCATTTTAATTTACAAATCATGAAAGTAGTGTTTACCGCTTTGAACAAACAGGAATAGATTAATTATAGAGGGTTTTTGCATCCATTAATAGGTTGTCATTTTACTGAGTTTAATTTTTAAGAGGTCTTTGAGTAACAGTGCTGTGTCTTTCAATATTCCTAGCATGCAGGTAGTAAGTAGATGTTCCAGCGTGCTTAACATTGCTGTATTAACTTGACTTCTCAGGGTGAAGCTTGGACACCTGAGACGCAGTAATGCAGCATCTTCCTATCCAAGAAAAAATGGTTCATTCAGTCATAGGCTAAATCCCTCTTTAGAAAGAAGCAGCTCTCTCCATGGCAGGCTTTTCACAAACTCTAGAACCAGATTATATTCTGGGGCAGTATCTTCAATGAGGGAGGAACTAAAGGTCTTACTTACTTGCTTGGATTGGGAGTGCTGCAGGGGTCCTAAGAGGCCTTGTGAAGGGAGGAAGGGTTTAGGTGGGCCCAGCCGTTGCAAGTGATGATTAAGGGCTGGGGATAAGTGAAGTTTAGACTTTTATTTATTGCTTTAAGCCATTTCAGGTTTTCAACCAAGTTACTACAAGCACTTTTTACCAAGTTGAATTTCTGTCCTTAGATAGCTAAACTCTTTTACCTGATCCAAATTAATACAATGGAATTTCTTATTAAGAATGAATTATTAAGTAAAATGGAAGCACTGGGCTAGAAAAGCAATTGGTGTAATTTGTTTTCGAAGCCTTCAAAGTGCTGCAACGTGCATAGATCACAAGTACTGGCTTAAGTGCCAAAGCACGGGGCATTAATTTTCTTTTGGAGTGGATTCCAGGTTCACAGGATATCAGAACTGCTGACTTAGCAGTGAAATCCCATTTGTAACATGTTAGATTAGGAAACAGATTGATTTATACGTTGATGTAATGGATCAAGGCACAGTGTGTGCTTAAGAAAATAGAGAGCCCATTAAATAAGAGCATTTTCAAAGTAAAGAAGTACAAACATAAAAAAGATCCTATTATATTCTAGATAAGGTTGGGGTATGTTTGATTAGTTGATTCCTAGACATGGTCCACAGAGGCTTTTTATATTTCAGATGATACCTTCTTGAGAGTCTCTTATGACCGCAAGGATTAATCTTTCTGAACTCAAAAGTGAATCACTACAGCATATTAGCTGTCTGGAATGATTCCATGTACTCTCCTTTTTCTTGGTGGTAACTGATGTGAAGAGCTGCCGTTGCTTAGCTGCCTCTTCCTGTTGCTTTAACCTCTGGTATTTTAGATTCTCTTTAGGGAAGATAATGCTGACCATCTCAGCACAAAGATCAAATGCACTTACCACTGCTGTATTGACCTCAGTGGTTGACCCATACACTGAACATTTATGCAGTTGGAACTCTTGCGGTCTTTTCGCTAACAATCATAATGAGTAACACATGGAACATAATCTTTGGCGCTGATAAATGGCTGCCTGCACAGTTTCGCTCACTCCAAGGCTGTGGCTTGGGTGACCTCACCTAACTAGCTGACCCTGGGTCTTCCTGTATTCATTTTTGGAATCTAAGAGTTAAATTCCCACCGTCTACTTGAAAGATTACACATCACACCCAAAATGCTATTTATTTAATAGCTGTTAGAAATATACAGGGCCACAGAGAGAACTTAGGAAAGACTGCCCAACATCTTTCAGATCTAACTGTGGCAGTTCATATGTAGCAGGTTTAGGAGATGCTTTGGACCTGCCAATTTGGCTTTCTTGATTCCACACATATTTATCTTCCTGGATTTTTTTCATTTATTTCTGCCTGGGCTTTTGAAGTGAGGAAAGAATTTGGGGAGAGCACCCACTGGTATCAATACACAAAGTGTCCCTGGTGGTTTCTTGCCTTTACATGTCTGTACCCATTTATATATGCACATTTTCCTCCACGTCATAATCTACATTTCTAGCCATAATCCTTAGATGTGGCTCCCAAAAGACGCAGGGCCACCACGAGGCATTTTGGTGCACATCTCGAACTCATTTGAGAATTAACACATTTGTCTTGTGCATCCTTATACTGTTTAATGATTTATGTTGATTAAACACCACTAGTGTTCCTTTTCACAGATATCTTTATAAGTATTTTTCTTTCTTTGGGAAAGAGAGGACCAATTGGTAGCTTCATGTGCCGTTACACTGAAGGCGTCGGGTTTGCCTTCTGCTTTTACAAATGGTTAATCACAGTAGAGTTACAATCACTTCTAGTTAATATGGTTGCTGATTATTCTCCTCATTGGTTTGTTGTTGTTGTTGTTGTTTATCCTCACCTGAGGATATTTTTCCATTGATTTTTAGAGAGAATGGGAGGGAGGGAGAGAGCGATTTGAGAGACACACTGGTTGCCTTCCACACGACCCCGACCGGGGCCGGGGGTCGAATCTGCAACCCAGGTACCTGCCATTGACCAGGAATTGAAGCCGAGACCCTTTGGTCTGAGGGCCTATGCTCCAACCGCTGAGCCAACCAGCCAGGGTGCTCTTCATTGGATTTAATAGGTGGTTTTCCACGTGGATTGATCTAGGCAATATTTTAGTTCCAAAGTTTTCTCCTATCTATCCAACAGGTGTTTGTGATGCCTTCTCTTGTACTAGTAGAAAGCAGGCTAATTTTCATGTTTCAAAGCAAAACATGTAGAATGGTAAGTTTGTCCTGGAAGAAGATCATAATGTATTTCAAAATCTGATGTGGGCTCCTGATTGGACTGTCCATTTGTGTCTGTGTCGTCCATCAGCATAGATAAATATGAATTGCTTAGGAAGCACACATTTTCCATATACTTAAGTCAGGTCTGCCCTTTCTGTTACAGGAAAACCAGTTTGTGTTAATTGCTCTTTTTAAAAAGAACAATATAGTAGCCCTGGCCAGGTAGCTCAGTTGGTTAACAAGTCATCTCGATAAGCCAAGGTTCTGGGTTCAATCTCCCGTGAAGGCACATACAACAATCAACCAATGAGTGCATCAATGAGTGGAACAACAAATCGATCTTTCTCTCTAAAATAGGAACAATAAATAAACCAGACAATCTAACTGTACCTCCCCTTACACCCCCCCCCCCAAGTTTTAACATTTTAAAAATGCTGTTTAATTTTCATTTTGAATGAACTTTTACAGTGGGAAAGACCACAGAATTCCATTGTGGATTTAGCCATTGGTGTTGGCTTATTTCTAGATGTTGGGATGCCTGTGTTTTCTCTTAGTATGAGAGACTTTGCAGAAGCCTTACTGTTATCGTGCGTAGATGTTATTTCTCACCTGTAACTTGTGAGTTGTTAATAGCTATGATTGTTCTCAAAAAAGAGAATACTAGCCATAAAAAGACTTTCTGCAATAGTTGATTATTTTTACCTAACATGAGATACAGTTATTCATGAAATCCCTTTCAGTGGTCTATTTCCACGAATGACACCATCACTAACACTAACCAGACTTGACACCTTCCTTTTCCTCATCCCCCTGGCTAATCTGTCTCCAAGTCTTGCATGTTTTGTTCTCTGTGATCTCTTGAATCTGTCTTTCTACCACCCTCCCTTAGCTCAAGCTGCTGTATCTCTCTTTTGGACTGTGCAACACCAGCTTCCTGAGCCATTCCCCTGCATGCACTCTTGGTTCCTTTCATTCTGTTCTTCATCCTCAGCCAGGGAAAGCATCAGAGCAGCATTTTGAAAATACTAACTTTGTGCTTGAAACCTCTCCACATTTCCAGTATTAAAGACCAGAATCCTTTCTTGGTTCAGTCTTGTCCCTGCATGGCTGTACTCAAATGCCATTCTCTTCAGGAAGCTTTCCTGATCACCTTATCTAAGCCTCAGGCAGATTCCCTTTTTATATGCTTCTTCAATGCTGTGTTCTTTTCCTTCTTAGGATGTCTGGGCATGTGATCACACTTTTTTTGCACTATACCGCAAGCCCCATGAGAGCTGGGGCCATAGCTTGCTCACCCTTGTGTCCTAAGCATTTAGCTTGTTGCTTTGCATAATAATAGCTGCTCAATAAAATTTTGTGTAAGTGAATTGAGTAAAATTACTGGAACTTCAGGTATTTTATGCTTTTGTGGTTTGATATATTAAGGAATGGAAAGTAGATTTGCTTGTAATAGAGGAGAACACAGTTAGGTTATAGGTTCCCAAGACAGCAGTATCCAGATGGAGAGTCGGGGTTAGATTTCCCATTGATCTTTCACTTTGATCATGTACATTCAAAGGTCATTTTTTATTCTGGCCTAGCTCCTGGGAAAAGGATTTGTTTATGACATAAAAATAATAAACAGTGAAGATCTTTAAAAGAGCAGTTCTGCGTCCAGCCGGTGTGGCTCTGGTTGAGCGTTGACCCGTGCACCTAGAGGTCGCCGGTTTGATTCCCATTCAGGGCACATGCCAAGGTTGTGGGCCCAGTCCCCAGTTGGGGACATGCAAGGTGTGGCCAATTGCTGTTTCTCTCTCTCTCTCTCCCTCTCCCTTCCTCTCTCTAAAATCAATAAAGAAAAAATATATATTAAAAAAAAGGCAATTCTACTGTCACAAACAACTGAATGATGACTATACCTTTGTGCCAGCCTTTTTGGAGTAAACCTGTTTTTTTGTCCCCCTTTGGTAGGCTCTCGCAGCCAATGCTGGAACAGGATTTGCTGTCGCCGAGCCTCAAATTGCAATGTCTTGTGGAGAGTTAAATATGCACGTGAACATTCAGACTGGGGAATGGGAACCTGACCCAACAGGCACCAAGAGCTGCTTTAGAACCAAAGAAGAAGTTCTTCAGTACTGTCAGGAGGTAAGAGTGTTGCCAGAAAGTTAAAACCACCTTGTTTCTGGGTCAGACTTGAACCTATTTGCCTTAGAAATGGAGATTCTATCATTCTCCTCTCATGACCTCAGACCAGGTTGCTAATGACTGGTGCACCAGGCCCTTTTGTTTTTAAGCGTATGATATGATTGAGACTTGTCAAGGCTTTTTTGCCTTTGTGTGCTCTGAACTTCAGTTCTTTCAGGAAGGGATACTGCAGAAGCTTGGCAGGCACCACAGAAGTGCAGCCTGGTTCTCTCGGCCTCCATTTGTTATGGGAAGATGTGAAGCAAAACATGTTTGTGTGTGCTTGTGGTTTCCACTTGCTGCAAATGATCATCTCGGGTCTGATTCAACTTGGTTTTGGGTCAAAATTTTACCTAGAAAAGGATGTAAGATGTTTGAACTTATTACTTACCAAGACTGGCATATAAGTTCAGGGTCAAAGCATTATTCTATAATTTTATTAACAGACATTTCTATAGACTTGCCTCTTGAATGTTTTCGTTTATTAACTCAGCTACTTACATGTATCCTACAAGTGGCCTTGATACCTAATGGATTTATTGGGCTGAAAGCTTGCTGCTTTGTATGTCCTTAAATAAAGACTCCTTTTTTTGTAAGTGAACACGTTAGTTAGAAATCTGTCTGTCACAAGAAAACTAATCGTTACACTATCTTTTCACTTGAAGAGTTTATCTGGAGGCAGTAGCAGCAGAGTGGAACTTTGGACTCATATAGGGTAACAGTGACTCTGAGTAAACATAGGCACTCATCCTTCCTTGCGAGTGAATGTCCGTTTATATGGACCAAGTCGGTTTATTGTGAGTGTGTTCTTTCCCCTTGTAGATGTATCCAGAGCTGCAGATCACCAATGTGATGGAAGCCAACAAGCAAGCCCGAGTGGACAATTGGTGCCAGAGGGACAAAAGGCATTGCAAGAGCCACACGGTGACTCCTTTCAAGTGTCTCGGTGAGTGTTCTGTAGACATTCTTGATACATCTCAGGAAGTGGGTCTCTCATTTTTAAATTTAATTTCTCTTGGCTCATAGTGAACTATCTACATCTGTTAAGAACCTGAGGGCTACAAGAATTTATTGTGGGACTTTATCTTTTGAATATTTATTGCTTTCTGTGTCGATAATTGACTTGTTCTAATATGGTCACTAACTCTCCCTCTCCCATCGTGGGCATCCTTCTGTCTTTTAAGGATGAGTCTTTTCCATAACACTGAATCATAGTGCTGCCCCCAGAGCAGTCCAGCTTTACCTCCCTCGGAGAGGGTGAAGTGTTACAGTCATATTATTGAGCGCATAGATACAGCAGTAATATAGACATTCTGGGTAGTTCTCAGATGTATGTAATTTTAGCCGTGAATTTAACTTTTTTCCTTTTCCTAAAATGGAATACATTGCTTTTCTCATTCTCACATGTAGCAAAATAACAGGAAGAGTCAGCACTGAGTAACAGTATTTAAAATACATAGCAATTACTTTGTTTTAAAAATACTCACTGGGGAAAAGAGGGACGCTGCCTGTCCTTAACACCATTTACTTTAACGTTGAGCATCATGCAGTAGTGTGAGACTTGGAAAGATTTTTGTGATGTAGTTTAAGGATGTTCTTTTATTCCATATGGCTCCACGAAATCTCTGGTATGAGCTTTCATTCATTCTCTATAAAATTCTCAAACAAAATGAAAGAGTACTCTTGAATATTTGTAGATCGATAGTTCTTGGAATTTCTTCCTTTTGCATCTTTAACCCTAAAGACTTTGTAGCCTGGTCTTCCCCCTCCTGTATGTTCTTTTTGTTGTTGTTAATCCTTACCCGAAGAAATTTTTCTATTGATTTTTAGATAGAGTGGAAGTGAGTGAGTGAGGAAGGGAAGGAGAGAGAGACAGAGAGAGACATTATATTGAGAGAGATGCATCAATTGGTTGCCTCCCGCACAACCCCAACCAGGGCTGGGGGTTGAACCTGCAATTCAGGGGTATGCCCTTGTCCAGGGATTGAACCCGTGACCCTTCAGTCCATGGGCTGACGCTGTAACCACTGAGCCAAACCAGCCAGGGCCCCACTCTTGTGTGTTCTGTGTTACTTGCTGGCTCCACTACCCACCCAGAACTCTTGAGCTAGAGATCTGGGAGATCTTTATCTCCACATCCAGTCAGTTTTCAAGCTAGTCTGGTTGTCACCTCTCAGGTATGGCTTACAGCCATGTTTAAGTGCACCGAGGCACTCCAGGACATTGCAGGCGACTCACAGGGTCATTGTGGGATGTTTTGGTTTTCAGGGGAAACATCTGTCAGACATCCCTGAACTGCTAGCGTGGGGTATTCACAGTTTCAACATCTGATCATTTTATTTCTTCTGTGACCGCGTATCTTTGTTGATTGTGTTACTGGTTCCTGTGATAGAGTCAGCATCACACAAAATCACTATAGAAGAAAGAAAGGTGATGATGTTCAGCCAGTTGCAACATTGAAGGAGTTGTATAGGGCCCAACAGGCCCTACGGTGTTAGGACACAAGTCCTTTTTTTAGTTTGGCCCTAACTACTTGACTTTTGGGCATTCTTTTGGCCTGGGAGTACTGTGAAAAAAATTACTGAGACACTCAGGGTGCTGTGACTTGAAAGTTGGGGAACCTCTGGCTTATATATCCTTCTCCATATGGTTCCCATTGCTCTGGTTCAGCCTTTTATCATTTCCCGCCTAGTCTAGGCTGTGACAAGGGCCCCCATGCATGTCTCTCAGGTCTGTTGACCACTGTGTTCCCCTCTGATCAAAAATGAAGATTGAATTGTCTTTCCTGCGTATAAAACCCTTGAGTAGCTCTTCTTCACCTGAAACGTAACATTTAATTAAGCTCCTTAGCATGGGTTAAAACTCCATAATGTGGCCCTTGCTTTTCCTACAACCCTACCCCACCCATACCTCATTTGTGCTTCAGACTCTTCATCAGCATGGACATCTCATGGCCCTTGGGCACTTACCGTCCATCCATTTCTTGTTTGGAACAGCTTTTCTCTACTTGGGAAGTTCTCCCTTTAAGACTTATCTCAGTGGGTGATTCCTTTAAAGGAAGCTTTTTCTCTTGGTTTTATTTTCTATCCAGATAACTAGATTTCTGAAATTCTCCATGTTATTGCCATTACCCGTATCACACTGTACAGTCAGTGGTTTCTGTTTATGTGTCTTTCTCCAATGTGGTTGAAAACACTGATCCTGCTTTAGTTTATTGTCGCCTCAGCACCATGCAGTGCCTAGAACGTAGGATACATTCCTTACGCTAATTACAACGTAAGGCCGCTACCACAGCTAGTACCCAACAAAAAATTTTTGTTTTACTGCTTTATTTTCAAATTCTGTCGTTTGAATTTATCAGTGTGTTATAGAACCAAACAATGAAATGAGAATGTCATTAACTAAATGCATAAAGACAATTTGACCATAAACCATCAGTGCCTTCTTTGCATTGCCACAGACAATTCAGACCATTATTCATGTTCACACCAACATTCATTTGGACAACTTTTTTTTTTTTAATCCTCACCTGAGGACATTTTTACAGTTTTTGTTCAGACAGAGTGGGAGGGAGAGAGAGGAAGAGAGAGAGGAACATCGACGTGAAAGGGACACATCGAGTGGCTGCCACCCGCACGACCAACCAGGGCCGGGGACAAACTGCAACGGAGGTACGTGCCCTTAGCGGGAACCAAACCCGGGTCTCTCTGGACCGCAGGCCGACGCTCCAACCGCTGAGCCAAACCGGCCAGGGCTCATTTGGACAACTTTTAACCAGTAATACAGTTGCCGGAGCCTAAGTTAGTGAGGGACCAGTAACTGAAGTTTAAGGTGGCGGTAGGAAGGAGACACTGCTGATTCTTCCTGTTGTCAGTGAAGTAGTAGATTTTAACGTCTGGCCGCTCTCCCCGCCCAGCCACTCCCTAGAGTGCCTGGGTAGAACATCATTGGTTGATCAGCAGCATAGCCTTCTTCTTACCCATAGATTCCTTAGAACGCCTTTGGTGACAGACTTTTAGAGTTACTTTTGCCTGTTTAAATTAGAAATGATAACAATTTAAAATTAATTTCAAGTTTGTAGAATGACTGCAAAAATAGTACAAAGAGCTTTCCTTAGATTTTAGATTTTTTAACTGTTGACATTTGGTTAATTTGGTAAAATGAATCTTAACTACTAGTTTTTTTGTTTTTCAGCCATTTAAGTTGTAGGCATGTCCTTTTATCCCTTAATGTGCATTTCCTAAAAACAGGACATTCTCCTAAATAACCATAGTACAATCATCAAAACCAGGAGATTACCACTGATGCAGTATCTCATCTACAGATTCTGTTCTAGTCTCACCTCTTGTTCCAGTAAATACCAGGATCTAATTTGAGATCTCGTGGTGCATTTAGTTTTCCCTGTATCCTTCCTTTGTCTTTCATGACCTTGACATTTTCAAGGAGCAGCGATTTTCAGCCTTTTTCATCTCATGGCACACGAAAACTAATTACTAAAATTATGTGGCACACCAAAAATGTGTTTTGCCAATCTGACAAATAAATAGGTGTAATTTTGGTTCGTTCACACCAAACGGCTGTTGTGTTGGCCGTTGCCATTTTTTAATTTGACAATCTAAGGGAAAAGAAATCAGTGCCCTAGACTAAATAGTCAGATATTGCATGTTTTAAAAATTCCTGAGGTGCCCTGGCTGGTGATGTTCAGTTAGAGTATCAGCCTGCAGACCAAAGAGTTTGATTCCCAGTCAAGGGCATGTACCTGGGTTGCAGGTTTGATCCTCAGCCCCGGTTGGGGTGCGTGTGGGAAGCAACCGATCAATGTCTCTCTCACGTTGATGTTTTTCTCTCTCTCTCTCTCTTTCCTAAAAAATGTGTGAAAAAAATATCTTTGGGTGAGGATTAACAATAACAACAAGAATTTGTGTAATATACCGGTTGAAAATCGCTGTTATAAAGTATAGCCAGTTACTTTATAGAATACCTTGCAGTTTGGGTGTCTTATGTCCTTTTTATTTATGCATTTTTGAGGGTGTGATCACAGAAATGGTCTTGCTGCATTAGATTAGGAGTTTTGTGGTGTCAGCTGTTTCATTGCTGGCCCTCACTTTTGTCACATGGCTGAGATGGTGTCAGCACTCATTTATTTCATTATGGACTCCTCATCCAGATTCGTCCAGTGGGAGGCCCTTCAAGCTTTCATTCTTTGAAAGCTTCCTTACTTTCTTGTGCCAAAAAATGCTCTAGGCTCATCCTGTATTTTCCCTACCTCACTTCTGGACTCAGCCATTTTTCTAAGAAGCCTTGGTTTCATTTAGTGGGAAAGAATATTTAGACACTAAGATCTGGACATTAGGTGTGCCTACTGCAATTACAGTGTCATTGCTTCTAGGCCCACTCAGAAGACAGAGCTAAGAAATATGTGTATATGCATTGTACGCACACACAAATCTATTTGCTATATCTGTGTGTAAATTAAAAACAATGAGCTCATTGATATCTACAATTCCATTATTTTAGTATGTTTTTCATTTTTCTCAATATCTGTATAAATAATAGTCTCTCTGCTTTTTAAGTGTAGGTTTGTGAGATGTAATTCACATACTGTGTAATTCACCCATCCTTTAATGGTTTATAGTGCATTCACTGAGTTATGCAACCATACTCAATTCTTTTAATATACAAACTGTAGTGAAAATTAATACAGTAAAATGTGAGAGTCTTTGTATATTTTATTCACCAGGAGTTACCACAGTGAGTCCTTCTATACATATTAAGGTAAATACCACATGTTGCCGTAAAGAGATGGTAGTGTGGTTAGCTTCAGCCCTGAAAGCCCTTTTAAATATTACTGCCCAGCAAACCCAAATCATAGGCAAGCCAGAGGGCGGGGCGATGGGAACTGGGGGAAAATAGGATGTGTCTATATTGTTCATTAGTTTGGGTGTTCCAGGGGACTTATCTATGTACTCAGGCACTGTTTTTGTTATTTTTGCGAGTTTGAGGGGAAGGGTGTGTCTTGGTTAGGATGCTTGAAAACAGTTTGAGGATGAATTTTAGTTGCTAGCAGTGTTTGCATCAAATCTGATGTCACACTCTCTGTAGACGTCTGTGTCCACGTCATTCACCTCTGCTCTCTTCTGAGGGCATGCTTAATTACCCATCGGTGTGATTCTTTTAACTGATATTTACTAGAGTTGGTGAGTAGTTACAGTTCAGTCTTCTCAAAATGAACCTTATATTTCCCATTACTACTAATTGCCTTCAGCTTATCTATAAAAGTTTTATCTAAATAAACAGGATGATCCGACTAGGACAGGAGTTGGTGATGTGTGAAGAAGCAAAACTGCTGGTATTTGTGGGGAAGGAGTTAGTCATCCTTGATGTGTATATAGAGACTGGCTCCTGTACTAAAAGAAGAGAGCTGTGCAAGCTCAGGACAGTTTTGTGTTTGGTTATTTTGGAAGGAGATTGGATAGGGAGTGTTACAGTGGTGTGAAGACTCCAAAGGAAATTTGCGTATCAAGCTTTGAGATGCCTCTTCAGCAACTGCACCTTGGTTCTCAGAGCTGCTCACCCGTCCATTGCAGGTGGCTGTTTTCAAGTCACCTTCTGCCTTTGAATTCACCATAGCCCATCAGCAGTTCACCTTGTTCCCAGTGTGGATGCTACTGCATGGTATATGTTTCTGCTCGTGACAATTAGCTTCTCAGAGCCGATTTACCTCAAAGACATCCTCTAGGGAGGGTCACTAAACCCTTTTATCTTAGAATGAAAGACAAACTTAAGGAGTTAGCCAGGCTGAAGGAGGAGGGATTAGGGATATGAGGAATTAGGGGTATTGTTTTGTTTAATAATCTTTAATATTATTAAAACATCATAGCCCTGGCCAGTTTGGCTCAGTGGTTAGAGCGTCGGCCTGCAGTCCAGAGAGGGCCGGGTTTGGTTCCCGCTAAGGGCACATGCCTTGGTTACAGTTTGTCCTCAGCCCTGGTTAGGTCGTGTGGGAGGCAGCCACTCAATGTGTTCTTTTCATGTCGATGTTTCTCTCTCTCTCCCTTCCTCTCCCTCCCACTCTATCTGAACAAAAAAATGAAAAAATGTCCTTGGGTGAGGATAAAAAAAAAATCATGGAAGTTATTCCATGTTAAACACACACATAAACCATATTTCTTATGACCCCGTGGTATTCCACTGTATATAGATATTGTTATTTAACTAATTCCCTATTAGTGGACATTTAGGTATTTAGGTTGGTTCTTTTTTTTTTTTAAATATTAACAACACTAATGAATATTTTTGTTCACTTGCTTAAATATTTCCTTAGAATATATTATTAGAATTGGAATTATAGACTCAAAGAGTACTCTTTGGCCTGGCCAATGTGGCTCAGTGGTTGAGCATTGACCCATGCACCAAGAGGTTGCCAGTCTGATTCCCAGTCAGGGCACATGCCCAGGTTGTGGGCCTGATCCCCAGTGGGGAGGAGGCAGGAGGCGGCCAATCGATGTTCTCTCTCATTGATGTTTCTATCTCTCTCTCCCTCTCACTTCCTCTCTCTCTAAAAAAAAAAAAATCAAAGGAAAAAAAAATCTTTTTAAAGCAAAGTAAATGAATAAACAAAATAGAAACAGACTCATAGATACAGAGATTAGACTGATGGTTTGCCAGAGGGGCTGGGGGCTGGGTGAAAAGGCTAAAGGGATTAAGAAGTACGAGTTGGACCCTGGCTCGTTGGCTCAGAGGTTAAAGCATTGGCCCGTAGACCGAAGGATCTCGGTTTCAATTCCAGTCAAGGGCACGTACCTGGGTTGCAGGTTCGGCCTTACGGAAGGCAAACAATGGATGTCTCTCTCTCACATCCATGTTTCTCCCTCCCTCCTTCCCTTCTATTCTTTCTAAAAATCAATGGAAAAATATCCTCAGGTGAGGATTAACAAAAAGAAATACAAATTGGTAGCTATGAAATAGTCACAGGGATGTAAAGTACAGCATAAAGAACATAGTTAATAATACTGTAATAACTATGTATGGTGCCAGGTGGTACTTGAAATATGGGGGAAACCACTTTGTAAAGTGTATGATTATCTAACCACTGTTATACACCCGAACCTAAAACAATATAATAATGAATGTAAACTATGATTGAAAGATTAAAAAAAACAAAACAATAAAATTAGTGGCACTTTATTTTACAGTTAAACATGGAGTTAGTTATCAAATTTCTGGCATTTAAGAAGTTTTTATTTTCAACTTTAATTCTGAAATGTTTCATGCATACTCCAAAGATAACATAATATGGTTACTCAAGCACTCACCGTCCTGATTTAAGTTCAACATTTTGCCATGTTTGCTACATTTCCCTCTTTTTAAAAAATTCTCACCCTAGAACATGCTTAACTGATTTCAGAGAAGAAGGAAGAGGGAGGGAGAGAGGGAGGAAAGGAGACAGAGTCAGAGACATTGATTTGGGAGAGAAACATCCATTGGTTGCCTCTTGTACCTGCCCCAGGTGGGACAGAACCCCTCAACCTAGGTATGTGCCCTGACTGGGAACTGAACCCGTGACCTTTTGGTGTCTAGGATGATGTTCCCACCAACTGAACCACACCGGCCAGGGCTCCATCTTATTTTTTAATAAAGGCTTTAGATGTTCCATAGTCCCAGCTTCTCATCCCTTTCTCTTCCTCCTTTTTCCTTTTCTATCTCTAGAGATAACTACCACGCCATTGTTAGCATGAATCATTCTCATGCATGTGTTTATGCTTTTGCTATATAAACAGTTTGTTTCAAAATTTACATTGATGGTATACTGTACTGACCTTTGACAACTTGCTTTTACTTTATATCATTTTGGTGTTTATCTAAGGTGTGATATAAGTAGATTTACTTAATTCAATTTTAACCTGATGTAATATTACACTGTTATTTATTTATTTATTTATTTATTTATTTATTTATAATCCTCATCCGCGGATATTTTCCCATTTATCTTCAGATAGATTGGGAGGGAGGGAGAGAGAGACAGAGAAACATCGATGCAAGAGAGACACATCGATTGGTTGCCTCCTGAATGACCCCGACCAGGGCTGGGGACGAAGCCCAACTGAAGTATGTGCCCTTGCCCAAAATCGAACTCTTGGCTCTTTGGTCTGCAGGCTGACGCTGTAACTGCAGAGCCAAACCAGCCAGGGCTATTTTTTTTTAAACCCAGTTAGTTTATTGTTTATATAGAATATATATCTAGTAATGAAATTGATGTTTTACATTTTTTCTGGTGTTGCTATTGTACATATAAAATTGAGGTTTTATAAATTAAAGTATATTAACTCGCCTACCTATAGATTTTTTAAATAACTGTGGTTGTATGGTTTGTTTTATATAAAACTAGTTGAACAACATCATTCACATCAGAAGTTAGAGCTAACATTGGCATAGTGCTTACTGTGCACCAGGTTCTGCTCCAAGCTCTTCATGCGCCGTGTCTGTTGTCATTTCATCCTCAACAGTAGGATAAGGAAGCAAGGCACAGAAATGTTGAGTAGCTTGCCTAAGACCACTCTGCTAGGAATGATGGTGCTCAGACTGAACCCTGGCATTTAGTCCTGTACACACTGCCTCTTTTGTGCTTTTTGTCATAAATTAACAAATACAAAAATTGCCTCTTATGCAATAGTTACATTAAACAATGTGAGTTGGTGTTTGGATGTAAGAATTTATGTAATTCTACTTAGATTAAGTAGCTAAGTAGATTGTCTCTTCCAGTAGAGGCAAATTCTGGTTTACCATGGGATTTTTAAAAAAAATTTTTATTTTAAACTTTGATTTTTAAGTCTGGTTGAGGTAGTGTCTGCCAGCTTTCCCTTGCCAAGGCATCTGTTTCCGTTCGTAATTAGCTCTCCATTGATGATTCTTACGTGGATCAGTTCTTGCAGTGGCACTTGGTCTTAGAGCTAGGTGTTCTTAGGTACACAAAGGGCTCATGTAAGATTATTCTGTACGTTAGGAGAACACTCAGTCTTAGTTTCCTGGGCATTTTGTTGTTAGAACCGATATGGACAGAAATATGCAAGTAAGAGGCCAGGACTGTTGTTTATGTGAAATCAGTGGGGCAGAACCTGTGTGTGTGTCTGAGGTCAGGAAGAGGGATCCCATTCCTGTTCTTCTGTCATGTATGTGCAGCCTGCCGACTGGAAGGGGTTGGAGTCCGGGAAAAGAGGACAGTCTGGGCTTAATGGCTGTCACAGAATGTGGAGCTCTGTGGCAGCTTGCTTGGACGTTCAGTTGGCCTTTGAAGATGAGACACTGCACCTGTCTGCACCTGACAGTGTAACTGTGGGAATCTGCAGTGAGGGTTGTTTTCACCGTGAGTCATGATCAGACTTGCTGTTGACAGTGTCTCTTTTCCAGTGGGTGAATTTGTGAGTGACGTTCTGCTCGTCCCGGAGAAGTGCCAGTTCTTCCACAAAGAGCGGATGGATGTGTGCGAGAATCACCAGCACTGGCACACTGTGGTCAAAGAGGTACAGGAGCGGCGGGGACAGTCGGGGTTTTCTGCTAGGAGAGAAGGTAGCATTATTCTCCAAACCTCCATGATTTTTAATTAATTCTCTTTATTTTCCCTTTCTCTCTTCAAAGTTAGCAGTTGCTTGTATCTTCTAAATTAAAAATATTTGGGAGAAGACGTGATATTTTTGTAGGGAAGTTCAGTGTTAACAATCCAGACCCTAAAGTCAAGGACATTAAAAAAGATTGTTAAGCAAGGATGCTATCAGCAGGGCTCCCAAGAAGGCCATCCTAAACCCTAAGGCCTCACGGTAGAAGTTGCCAATTATGGAAAATCTTTCTGGTCACATATACTGACAGGATTGGATGTCATTTCATTCTTCTAGTGGAGAGAAATAGTACCCTTTCTTAATGCTTGTCTCCTTTAGTTAAGTGGGTTCTCCGGTCCGTTTGTTTTCCTTTGGTCAAATTCTGAAGCATGCCCTCCCTCACTAGTGACAAGTGTAAATTAACGTTGACCACCTCTGTCTGGTATTGATAATTACTAGAAGAAACTCCCTTTTCCTTAATTTTTTCCAGCTTTGGGCTCTCATGGTTTTTGACCCAAATGATGTTTTCCCATTGCAAGTTAAGCAAAATTTGTAAATCTTAAAATGATAACATCACAAGTTTTTGACAGAAAATCTATGTGTCCATGAAAGAAAGCGTTGGATTAAATAGTGATTGGGGAAGACTGTTCTTAGGTAGAGCTAGGAATCTCGGGGTGTGTTCTGACGTTGGTCTGTGGCTTTCTGTTAGGCCTGCCTGACACAGGGACTGACTCTGTACAGCTACGGCATGCTGCTGCCCTGTGGCGTGGATCAGTTCCACGGCACCGAGTACGTGTGCTGCCCTCCGACCAAGGCTGTGGAGTCGGCTGTGTCAAAAGAAGACGACGACGATGACGACGACGAGGAAGGAGAGGAGGAGGAGGAGGAGGACTATGATGTTTATAAAAGGTGAACTCTTGTCCTGAATCGGTGAGATGGTTTTGCCAGGGGCCGTGGGCTGTTGGATGAAGTGGGCATTGCCTTTTTCACGCTGGGGCTGAGCCAGCTTGCATTTCATTCCAGCTGGGGCTGACGCAGGAGCACCCGTGGCTTCCACCCTCGTGTTATTCTGGGTTGCATTATTTTCAGATGTGGTCCCTGGTCACTAACTCTTCCCTTTTGCTGATGTAGCTGGGCCGAGGGCTTTGGTGGCACAGTTAACTACGAGCTGAGCTTGTTTCCTGTCTCTGTTTGTGTGTTTCAGAATAGGGAAGGGGATCATTGTTGTGCTTGTGCATAGGAACTGGTATTAACCTTCCTCTTTTATTGTGGCCTTTAGCGAATTTCCTACTGAAGCAGATTTGGAAGACTTCACAGAAGCAGCTGTGGATGAGGATGGCGAGGACGAGGAAGAGGAGGAGGAAGTGGTGGAAGATCGAGATTACTACTACGATACCTTTAAAGGAGATGACTACAATGACGAGAACCCAACAGAACCCAGCAACGATGGAGCCATTTCAGAAAAGGAAATTACTCATGATGTTAAAGGTAACCTGATATAGAGCAGTAGTAGTAAAGTCTACATGGGAATTACTTAGAATTGTGTGCTGCACTCATCACAGGTAAGTTTCAGAAGAAGCTGGTGCTTCTGTGGCTGAAGAGGAAGCCAGCTCTTCAGTGTGCTGGTGCTGTCAGCTTAGCAGTGGCGGCTGGGCCACCGCAGGGTCTGCCACTGGACACATCCAGGGAGAGATGAAGAATTGAACCAGAAAACTGTTCTTTGCACTGTGAGGACTTAACTGGAGAAGAGAGGCAACGTGGCCTACCCTTGGGGAGGGTTCTTCCATGTTTCAACCTGAAATGTTCTCTCCTGGGGGGAGCCCCCACCCCTAATACTGCTAAAGCTCTGACTTCGTGGAATGGAAATAACCTGCTTGGCCCTTCTCTTTCTGAGTGGGTTCTGATCTGCAGGCTGCCCTGTTTGGCCATCAGAAAGGTGTGTGTCACTGGGAGGGTGGAGTTGAATGACCTGCTGGTAAGGGATTGGGACTAGCAGCATTTTCATCCTGCCAATTGAAAGAAAAGGTTGTGACAGTTCTATTTCCACACAGCCTTCTGCTGACTGTGTATTTGAAACCCATTAAGGTCTGAAGACTTATTTAGGACCCAACTAGGGGGAAATTTTTTTAATGAGTCTAGAAATTTATGATTCATCTTGGAGAACATAAAAATGAGCACCCACCCTTCCCAGATGCTTAAGTAGCATTTACCGTGGTTGTCACCACTCACACAGCCTGTTCACCTGTGTTCTCCCCTGGGCCTTGACGGCACGAAGATAGACAAAGTCGGCGAATACCTCCACCTAACAGACAGCACTCTGGGCTCACAGAGCTAAGGAATAGGGAAGTCCTCTGTGCCAACCTGTACATTGATCTAGACTCAAGACAGCACAAAAATATTTTCATTCCTAAATCTCTGTACAGCCTTCGAGTGGAAAATGACTGCATCGTCAGAAACGACTGGCTTGAGCTGGTGAGGCCGTTAGCCGGGCGTTCAGGGTGCGTGCACTTAGCCTTCACCGAGCTAAGTGTCCCCCAGGCCTTTGTCCCCACTGGCCCAGCACTTGCGGTCTATAGCTTTGTGAAGCGTTTGAAGCTGCTGCCTCTGTCCCGCTGACATTCTGACCATTTTCACACAGCTGTCTGCTCCCAGGAGGCCATGACGGGGCCCTGCCGGGCCGTGATGCCCCGTTGGTACTTCGACCTCTCCAAGGGAAAGTGCGTGCGCTTTATATATGGCGGCTGCGGAGGCAACAGGAACAATTTTGAGTCTGAGGATTATTGTATGGCTGTGTGTAAAACGATGAGTAAGTCCGCCACGCTGGCTCTGCAGCAGACCGTCCTGTCCAGCATTTTGTCTTGCCCGGCCGTCTACGTGACTGATCTATGTAGTGTCCCTGCCCACGTGGGTGTTTGCTGTCGGTTGTTTTTCCCTCGTCTTGTGCTTTCTAGATCTAGACTTGCTTTCTTGTGGGCAGTTGGAAGCTCAGTTCTCCATGTCCTGTGCTCACCGTGGGTCTGGTGGTGGTGGTGGTGGTGGTGTGGTGGTGCGGTGGTGTGGTGTCTGGTGGTGTGGTGGTGGTGTGATGGTGTGGTAGTATGTTGTGGTGGTGGTGTGGTGTGGTGGTGGTGTGGCGGTGTTTTTCCTCCCTGGTTCCACGGGAGTCCCCAGGGCCTCGTTCTTTCTCATCCCTCCATTAGTCTGCAGGCTCCCAGAGCGCTTTGTGTTGATTTGGCAGGCAGCCATGTCCTCAGTTGTCTCTAGTTGAAAGGCACAAGAGGGTAAGCCGAACGGCCATGAATTCTGCACATGATCGTTTCCAGGCTTTGCCTCTCATTCTTGTCTTTGAACTACTCTGTTGGCAACCCCTGTGATGTTTGCTCCCCAAAGCAGGGATGATGGGGATACTTTGGGGAGTCCAGAATGTTGAAATATCTGCTTTATGTGTGTTGGGGGAGAGCCTTTCAGCTAGGTGGTAGTAACTGTTCCTCCGGTATTTTATCAGCCCTGGTCATGCAGAGATCTGGGTAGTGAAGGAATTGTAGTTTGCTTGTCCTTGGTTCACAAGGAAATTCAGTGGTTCAGTTGAGCTGGGTTTACCGAGGTAGGAAAAGGTTTGCTTTTCTCCACGGTTACCCCTTGTCCTTTTACAGACCCCCTTTCTCATACTCTGCAGTACTAACCCATGCGTTTGGAAAAGCCTCAGGCCAAGGCAGTCTCTTCTTGGTTCCTGTTCTGGAATTGCTTAGAATGATGAGTTGCTGCCTGTTCCTGGTATTTGGGTGTAGCTTCTGATGGTTTTCATTCAGATACCTTCATGGTCCCCCCACCCCCATCCCAGCAAAAGGTTTCTAGAATCTTGATATCGTGTAGAATACTTTGAGCGCGTCCATTCCAGCTGCTCCTCTGCAGAAAGGCTGTTTTTATTTGATACGATTGAAAAGGTGGAAAAAAAGTGACTTCTTAGTGAACTTTGGCAGAAAATTTTTTTTTATTGAGGAAAGATGTAGAGATAGGAATTGATATTTTCTGCTTTGTAAAACTACTTAAATTAAGAGGCAACAAAACAACAGGAATCAGGGATCAGATAAGCTCTTACCTAATGTGCAGACGGCGTCAGAGAGGCAGCTGCCTTAGGACACTATGAAATGGCAGTTTTTCAGAGCATTAACAAAGTCTCCAAAATTGTAGTTTCCTGTTACTTATGGTAGGGGAGACTAGCCAAGGAGCAGCGTATGTTCATGTACTTTTGGGGACCCTGGCTCTGCTTTGAAAGCCCAGAAGTATTACTGTTCTGGTGGTCAAGTTTGTGTCCCTAGAAGGGGATTGAGATGGGTGGATGAGTGAGTTGTTTTCACACCCACAGGGTGGGTGCGGTTCTAGGTGTGAGCCCATCCTGTCTCCAGAACCAGACCCCTCGGCCTGCCGCCCCTTTCCCTTTCTGTTTCCAGAGGGCGGGCAGCTCGTGTTTGGTATTATCTTGATCCAGCCCGGTGATCCAGACTCTGTCCCTAACACATAAGCCTTTAAGCTGCAGGCCTGCATCGCTCGTGGTGACGTGTTCAGTGGCACGGATGGACTTCAGTGCTTTGAAATTCTCCCAGCTGAACCTTTGAGTGTCATGGAGCATGTGGTTTGGGAGGCTATATATCCTAATTTAGTTCATTTAAAAACTGGCTGTTGAGATCCTATTTAAATAAGTATGTAGGAGCCAGCTATTCCTCAGAAGGTTTTAGTTGTATCTTTTAGGTTTAGGAACTGAAATGAAGGAAATGAGAGATGCTCTGATGGAAAGCTTTGGAGTAGCTGATGCAATTGTAGTTAACAATTGTCAGTTGAAGTTCTGCACTTTGGGAAGTTAGGTGGATTTGTCTCTGAATTAAAATGTGTTGAACTTGGGCATTTGCTACCCACTTTGCTCTAACATTATGTTGTGATTCAGAAAGTTGGACAGCAGGCTGCATGTCGGTCCTCACCAGCTTGGACATCTTGAGGGAATTGGGCCCACACGAGTTTCCATAGGTAATCTCGAGAGGTGGACTGAGTAACCTGTTATCTCAGTCCTTTCCTGTATGAGACTAAGCTCCATTGTGCAGGGACTGCCCCGCCGGGGCCACGAGGAATCTGCTTCACTAGCGGTGAGGAGTGGTTCTTCTGATGTGTCTGTTCTCTGGGTGGTGGCCTGTTAAAGGCCAATGAATATCATGGATTGAAAAGCTCAAGGTATCTTCACACTGGTAAATCCTTGTCTAATATAGCAATTTTGTCCTGTCACATACAGCAACTTAGTTTTATCCCGTTACCTCTGTTGCAGGGTGGGGCTGAGTACTTCAGTGCTACTAAAAACGGAAAAACCGTAGCCTGAGCAGTCTGGGCTTTCTCAGTCTATATGCCAAGAACATTCAGTTGAATTACTTCCCCAAAGTAGGTTCTTACCTGAAAGTAGCAGGAAAGGAGGCCTGAGCACTAAAGTTCCTTTCAAAATAGAGAATTTGTGGAAGTGCCTCTGCTGGTCTGATTTCAGCCCTCATCTCTGGTCAGGTGTCGGCGCCAGCACTAAGGCAGTGTTTTTAGGATTTCAAGAACTGAGGGACAGTTAGAAGAAGCGGTTTCCCTTTCTGCCCCTGAAGTCCTCAGGAAATGCCTTGCTGATCCTGCAGTTACCAGGGTACCTGGACTGGCCTGGTGGGTGCATCTCATGTAAGGCAGGTGGACCAGTGCAATCTACCAGAGCTGGGTCTCGGCAGACTTGCCGCTCTGCGGTCCTGAGCTGGTTTCTTCCCGGAGCACAGCGCAGCTTCAGCGTGGGGCCTCGCCCCGAAGACAGCTCCCTCTGTCATTTTGTTTCAGTTCCTCCAACTCCTCTGCCAACCAATGATGTTGATGTGTATTTCGAGACCTCTGCAGATGACAACGAGCATGCTCGCTTCCAGAAGGCTAAGGAGCAGCTAGAAATTCGGCACCGCAACCGGATGGACAGGGTAAGCCTCTTCACCTCCCTTATCTTTGTGGTGGTAGGCATTGGGTGACATGGTTTTCATAGCTGTAGAAAAAGGACACCATCTCCCTAGATTGTCGTGCTAACACGTCGCCAAGGACAGGTGAGGGAGTATGAGGGGACCGTCTCGGTGTGACTGGGCCCTCCCCCCTTCCCCTAGCTCCATGGTAACATGACTACCCTCTGCATGCTCCTGTCCCACCCTCTATAAAGAGCACTGCCATTATGTTCTTGTGATTATTATTACTTTTTGCAATTAACTTAAAAGTTTTCTTTTAAAGAAGGACAATTTACACTGTCACAGTTGTAAATGGCTAGTATCATTTGTCATTAGAACAAGGTAAATGTATTAAATGAAAGCAAGATACTAGCTAGATAGTTGCCTGTTGAAGGTTCCAAATCTCAGGGATGTTTTCTTCTCCTTAAAAGGGTTCTAAGTGTTAGAGCAACATGAGCACCACAGTGCATCTTTCTCCTAGACTTACTCAGAAGGTCTGAAAGAAAATCAAAAAGGGATTCCTTGCTAGGTCTGAGTTACCACCTGAAATCTCACACATCACCTGAGTGGGTTTGTACTTCGGGAGAAATGCTCAGTATTCTATTTTATCCACATCGGTTCTGAGAAATAGGTATTAACTACCTTCCGCCCTCCTTTTTTTTATTTTTGAGAAGACTAAGGTACAGAGACTTTTAAATAACTTGTCCAAGGTTACAGAATAAGGAGGTCATGGAATTGAGACTCCCATTTGAGGATACTTGAGGCATAGGCCCTTCTGAGTCACTAGTTCTGTGAACGAGTTAAAAATGCCCTGAGCTCATGCGGGATCATATGTGCAATTTCCTTTTGCTCAGTTTTACTCTCTGGTTAGAGTGCTTTGACCTGTGTTCTAGGTAAAGAAGGAATGGGAAGAAGCCGAGCTTCAAGCAAAGAACCTCCCTAAAGCAGAGAGGCAGACTCTGATCCAGGTAAGACGTGCTCTCCAGGGACAGCTCCCAGCCCGGCCCTCAGATGTGCTCAGAGCCTAACTCCCAGGAAGTTAGAGCTTGACACCTCCTTTTAGTCGAGAGCTTATGTTACAAGGAAGTTTTAACTGGCCTGCTTTTTTTAAAACCTCCCAACTGGTGTGCTCTAGAATAGCCCACCTATGGTAGAAGGAAAACAGATCCCCAGCCAGAGCACACCTAATTCATGCCAGGAAGTAACCTTAGCTCGGCTGTGTTTGTTAGTTCTGCTTTCCTGGCAAACGTCCTCAGTCATCTTCATTCTTAGGCTGTGACTTGTTTTTCAGCAGGACTGAATTCTGTTTTCTACAGACTTATTGAAAAGTCAAAAGGCAGAAAAGAAAGCCCTGATACCAGTTCATCTCTAACTGTAAGAATGTAACCTTAGAATCATAGCAGCAGCGTCTCCTTGACTAGAAGAGAGTGTGGATAGGAAAAGGGGTAGCAATCTACAAGACAGGTTTGGGTTTCATGAAACTTTAAACATTTTAAGTCAGTTGGTTTTTATGTTTAGCACAAACCTCGCCTCATGATAACACTTTCTCAGAACATCTAGAGCAGTGGTTCTCAGCCTTCCTGATGCCGCGGCCCTTTAATACAGTCCCTCATGTTGTGGTGACCCCAACCATAACATTATTTTTGTTAGTACTTCATAACTGTAATTTTGCAACTGTTATGTCTTAGGCGACCCCTATGAAAGGGTCGTTCGACCCCCAAAAGGGTGGTGATCCCCAGGTTGAGAACCGCTCATTTCTGTACAGCCAGTGCATTCTGTGTAGGGAATCGAATCCAACAGCCTTAAACAGTACCTTTAAATGTGGCCAGGTACCTCACAGCTAGCCACTTGCCCTGCAGGACTTCAGTGGGATGACTCACCAGAGCTCACCGTGTTCCTGGGGTATGTGTCAGAATGCAGCTCCTACCAGGCAGTGGTTTCGGATTAGTCCGTCGGCACCTGCCCGCCGGGCGGGGAGCACAGCGTGGCCTCTTGCAGTGCCTGGGGAGAAGCCACTAATGTCAGGGGAATGCCCAGGATTCCTCTGACTCGCTTTACCATGTCATCACTAGACGAGGAAGTAGTTATCCCAACTCATCCAACCAAGCACAGCAAGGTCCTCGAATCATGTCATTTCATTGGCCATCATTTTGTGATGTTGGTGAGATGCTGTAGCAGCTTAACCCTTGTTTAAACCAATTAGCCTGCGGTAAAATCGGTGTCCTGTGCTTTTGCTTAAAGTCACAGAGGCTATCGATGATAGTGAGGACTTACTGTATACAGTACTTAGGTCTTGACCTTACTCCTCCACTGTTCGAACCCGTTGCCGGCTCACATAGGCTCTGGGCAGGGAGAAGCCAGCGTTGGGCTCTGAAGTTGTTTGCCTAGACTCCAGGGTGCCATGAATTACATGTTGTCTACTTCCTGGCTGCAGCACTTCCAAGCTATGGTGAAAGCTTTAGAGAAAGAAGCAGCCAGCGAGAAGCAGCAGCTGGTGGAAACCCACCTGGCTCGAGTGGAAGCCATGCTGAACGACCGCCGCCGAATGGCCTTGGAGAACTACCTGGCTGCCTTGCAGTCCGACCCGCCACGGGTGAGTGGTGCCGAGCAGGGCACTGGTGCGGTGGGTGTGTCCTCAGTGGGGCCCGCCCTGACGCACTGTTTGGGTAGGACCCACAGATGACCCACAGGTCAGTAAGAGTAGTGTTATGACAAGTTCTTAAGGCTGGAATTAAGGAAAGAAGAGGAGGGAGGAAAGGGTGTTACGTTGTAGTACCTGAGCTTAGCATTACGCTGTGCCTGCGTACGCCACCTGTGATGCGGAAACATCTGACCAAAAGGAAGCACAACCTCAGGATGTTGGTTGGTAGGGATCCAGTTACTGGATCTTTGTAAAGCCTTACTTTCGAAGAATGAAAACATGCCTTCCATGGACAGAGGCTTTTGAACCTGTTCTGTTTTAAATATAGCTGTGAAGAAAAAGGTAAAGTTTCTATAGAAACCCTTTTATGCTAGTAGTCTCAGACTTTTTACCCCTTAACTCTGTCTAACCTGTCTTGCTCTTGGGGGATGGGAAGTATTGGAAAGGAGGATATTTGTATCCCTGTTAGGTGAGCAAGTAAAGCCATTTCTGGGTGACACAGAGACTGCCTGGTTTGTAAGTAAGGTGTCGGAGGCCAAGCCAGCAAAACAGTACCCGTTGAAGAAGGCAGTGGGCTAGAAATTATGGAAAATACTGTTTGTTAAGAAGCCCCAATACAACTTTGGAACCCAGACTTTGTTAACTAGGAAGGTAGCTGCTTGTTACTGGTTAGTTAGCTAACAGCTTTTGAAAGTATAGCTTTATTCTTGTGCTTCACTGAGCTTTACGTTCTTAAGAGAATTTTTGAAGTCTTGTTTTTCTATTTTCAATCCCCTCGTCTCTAGGTATTAAAACCACTGTTCTCTGTTGCAGCCTCATCGCATTCTCCAGGCCTTGCGGCGGTATGTCCGTGCCGAGAACAAAGATCGCCTGCATACCATCCGTCATTACCAGCATGTGCTGGCTGTGGACCCAGAAAAGGCAGCCCAGATGAAATCCCAGGTACGCTGGGCAGAGTAGAAATTGCTTTGGGAGTGTTTCTGGTGAGGAGAGGCTGCTTTGATCGACGGCTGGACAGCATGGATAGTTGTTTGTGATATCAGTCATTAAAAAATGATTTGTTATTTCCAAAGACATTAAGTATAAGAGTTGGTTTTTGCAAAGGTACTATTTTAAAAAGATATCTTCTCCATACTTTTTTGTTTGTTTTGGTTTTTGGTTTGTTTTTTTTAATCTTCACCTGAGGACTTTTTTTTTTGCATTTATCTTCAGATAGAGTGGGAGGGAGAGAGGGAAGAAGAGACAGAGAGAGAAACATCGATGTGAGAGAGACACATTGAGTGGTTGCCACCCACACAACCCCAACCAGGGCTGGGGACAAACTGCAACCGAAGTCCATGCCCTTAGTGGGAACTGAACCTGGGACTTTCAGGTCCACAGGCTGATGCTCTAACTGTTGAGCCAAACTGGCCAGGGCTCCATACTTTAAAAAAAAAAAAAAAGTTTATTAATTATTATAGAGAGAGGAAAGGGGGAGAGAGAGAAACATTGATGTGAGAGCACAACATCGATTGGCCTCCTCTTGTATACCTCCTACTTGGAATCAAGGCCACAACCTGGGCACATGCCCTTGATTGAGAATCGAATCAGCAACCTCCTTGTGCATGGGACAACACCCATTCAACTAGCCACACTGGCCAGCGCCATATAACTATTTTATACTTAAATAGATCTGAAAGTTTAGGAATGCATGATTATATTGAAGAAGTAAGTCAGTATCTAACAATTTATTTCTGATTTAGGGTAACACTAGAATTAATATTTGAAATCTTTTTCTAGGCAAATATATCAAGCAGATCTTAAAAATTGGTATCCACTGTACATATACTTTTTGTTTAGACAGCCACTTACATTCCTGGCTTTTGTCCCATGCTGGGTTTAGCTTTTCTTTATAGTTATTTATAAAAGTTTGTTTCTGGACCCTCCTTCTTATTTTGATATTATCTATGTGTTAAGTTGAGTTTTACTCTTGTGTTCATAGAAAAATAGTGCTATGCTGATTGTGGGTACCCAGTGTGTATGGGAGGCACTTACAAGTATGGATACTTGCCCATCACCCCAGGAGCTCCCCCTCCCAGCCTCTGTTGTATGTGTGCTATGATTGGAAGGTAATATGCCCAACAGTCCTAGGAGTTCTGCATTGAGGTTACTGCTCCATTCATTGAGCAGATGTTTGTGTGCTCTGCTTCCTGTCCACCTGCCAAACTGCCCTGGCATCTGATGATACAGGGTTGAATCCCTGTGTACTCCTGAGTAGCTCACAGTCTGGTACAGAATTAATTGTATCAACTATAAAGGAAGAATAATTGTGTTCAAACATAGGTTCACTTTAGCAGTTGGATGTTTGGGGTAGTGAAAGAACTCGGGCGCCTACAGGATGGGAAGAAGGAGAGGGGCCAGTCCGGGGACCATCAGGGGACTGTGGTATGGGCCCGGAGCTCAGTGCTTTGCTTTAAGCTGGATGGAGTAGGAGAGAAGGAGAAAAGGCCAAAAGCCTCCTAGAGTGGCTTCCAGGAAGCTTGGGGGAACAGCATGCGTCTTGACAGAGTTAGGTTTCTCAGATCTGCTTGCTTTTTTTTAATCACTTAAATAACTAGTGTGTGTGGAAGAACTAGACTATTGTGTAGGATTTTACAGAGAAAAATGGCCTGTTCTGTGTGATGAGAATAGAAGGAGAGACCTGATCGGTATATTAAATCAATAACTAGGGAATGCGTTACCTGCGAGCAAGACCAGAGTGCCACTCCAAGTCACACAGGAAGTAGAACCCTCCTAAGAAAATCTCTGGGAAAACACAGCTCTACTGTGTGATATTTACTGTCTGCTCTTAGTGCCACTGAACAGACCTTTTGTTCCCTATTCTGTTATCTAAACTCTAGAGAGCCCTGAATATATTCAGCCTACTACAAGCTGCAGGTTTGGTTTGGGCGTGAGTGGTGTGCTTCCCTTCTCTTGCTGCAGCTCAGAGGGTCACTGTGCAGACAGTGTCCAGTATTCCACCCATGGTTCCTGTCCTCATGTGGGTGTATGAACCGTTCCCTCCAGTGACTCCTTACTTCATCTGAAGACGTGTAACAATGCCAACACATGCTAAGACCGAGGGTGGGCAATGTTTTTCTTTTTGTTTGCATTTTTCTCTGGGGCACTCTTGTGCTTTCCCATCAATTTCCTTGATTGAAAGAATGGCAGATATAAAATTAAATTGCTTCATCCTTGCTTTTAAAGGTCAGAGCGATATCAATCTACAATAAAAGCATCTTTCCATTTATCTCCCCCACCCTCCCATTTTTGACCCTCATGTTAATGGAGTCAAGCCCATGTTATTAATCCTTTGGTTTAGCTCGCCCTCTTTAGGAAGAGCTTGATAACTGCAAGTGTAGCCAGGATGAAATAACCTTCCTTCTCGAATAGCTTGTATGAGTTACGATGTGCCTCACTGTGTGGGAGGTAGCCCAAATCACCTTTCTTTTCCACCCTGAAAAGCTTTGAACTAAGTGATCAGTTTTAATGGCTTTTTTTTTTTTAATCCTTGCCACGGATATCTTTTCCCATTTTTATCTTCAGATAGAGTGGGAGGGAGAGAGGAAGAGAGAGAGAAAGAGAGAGAAATATCAACATGAGAGAGACACATCGATTGGTTGCCTCCCGCACCACCCTGACCAGGGCCAGGGACTGAACCGCAACCAAGGTACATGCACTTGACCGGACTCAAACCTGTGACTCTTTGGGCCACAGGCCAACGCTCTAACCACTGAGCCAAACCAGCCAGGGCTTTAAAAAAAAATTAACTGCCTTGGAAATTTTTCATTCAGAAAGGGTAGTGAGCCATGGAAGATGGATGGTAGATAAATCTTCTTTAACAACCCTTAAAATCAGGTTTGTATATGTGTTAGTGTACATTTTTGAAAGAATAGCTAATTTACTTAAATAGGAATAAACTAGTTACTATCGTGATAGTATAATTTTAAGCAATTAACTCATTAAGCAAAGTCTATGCATGATTCCATCTCCCCCCCAAATCTACTTTTTAGCCAGTGATTTCATTCTCTTTTTATCCCATCTAATCTGACCAGCAGTAAAAATTGGCCAAGTCTTTCCTGTTTTCACTCAGAAAAAACTTTTTGAGTACTTGGCATTGTGCAAACTTGGGTTGTTTTTAACTCATTCAGTATAGTTAGTAAGTTCCTAATATTAAAATTAAATCAACAACTGGCTAGTAAAAATTCTTGCATTTTCTTTTAACCTGGAGGACTCTGGATAAATTCTCAGACCACTGAGGGGTTATTGCAGTATGAACACATACTTACACTTCAGTATTCAGTGAACATGGTGTGGGGATTATTACCTTTTCTCTGACCAACTGTTTTGCCAGACATAGTGGAGAATGGGCCTTTTCAGCTGGCCTGTGGGGCTGTGTGTGGCTGTCCCTGCTGGTCTGGCTGTGCTGATGACAAGGCCTCTCTCCGTACTGTACTCCAGGTGATGACACATCTCCACGTGATCGAAGAAAGAAGGAACCAGAGCCTCTCTCTGCTCTACAAAGTACCTTATGTCGCCCAGGAAATCCAAGAGGAAATCGGTGGGTGCTGACTGTACTTGTGTCAGAGTCAGGTGGGATTCTTGCTAAGGCTCGGGAGTGACAGCCGTGAAGGATTAGAGAAACAGGGCGAGTGAGGCCCTGAAGCTGGGCATTAGCACACCAGGGTTTCAGAAGTCTGGAATTCACGTGTCAAGGTCAAGTACTGGCTATGAGCCACAGAGCCTTGAGTTTCATTGACCTTCATTCTGTTACCGGAAGAAAGCTCTAGGGTATAAAATTGCAAGGGACTGGGGGAAGTCTTCTGTTACCTTTTCCCCCTTGATTCCTGATGTATTTCAAGGCACCTATTTTACACACGTTCTCATTTCCTCTCCCTCTTCTGGTCTGTCTTCTCTGTTTATTTAACAAATATTTATTGTGTCTGCTGTGTCACAGTGTAAAACGGTGCACAGGCAGACACTATCTCCTGGAGCTCATGTTATTGTAGGAGAGAGATGGACAGGAAAACAAGTATCAGATGGTGATGAGAGCTGTGGAGGGAGGTTAAACGGGGGTAAAGTGGTAGTGTTGCTGGGTGGTCAGGGAGGCCGTCTCAGGGACAGTAACCTGAGACCATAAGGGGGCAAATGTCATTGTCGCAGGCAGTGACGCCTGCAGAGGCCTGGAGTCTAAATCAGGCGGCAGGCACATGAGTAGATCAGGGAGGCCAGAACATTCGGAGAAATGAGGCCAAAGAAGTAGGCAGAGGCCAGTTTGTTAAGAGATTTTAGCAAAATCAAGGTGTTCGGATTTTGTTCCAGGATACTAGAAAGCCATCAGAGGCTTTCAAACTAGTGAGCGACTAGATCAGGATTATGCTTTTAAAAAGAACATGAATTTAAAAACAAAAATTACTTGGATGCTCTGTGGAGAGTTGGTTAAAATTGGAAACCACCAGGAAGCGACTGTAAAAACCCAAGAGGGAGTGGGAGCTGGTGGCTGAGCGCACTGAGATGATGCTGGAGGGGTAGGGAGGGGGGCTTCAGGGAACAGCTCAGAAGATGAACAGGATGTGCTCTGGGCTGGATGGGAGAGTGAGGGAAAGGAAAACATCAAGGGTAGTGCCTAGGTTCTCATTGTTAACAAATGAGTGGATGGTGGTGTCAGACGATACTGGGGTAAAGCGTCTTCACACACACTAACTAGAAGTTGCTGTTGGACGTGGAGTGGAGGTGTAAGGTAGGCCGTGAGGTTGGTGAGCCAGAGCTCGGGCGTTAGGTATAAGGTACAGAGTTGGGAGTCATGGTATGTGGTATTTAAAACTGTGCCTTGGATGAAATTACTTAAACAGAGTGAGTTGATAGAGAAGAGGGGTGCCCAGGATGGAGCCCGGGGATTTCTAGTGTTAGGGTTCTATAGTGCCACAAAATTGGGAAGGTATTTCAGGTAGTTGCCGACTGTTGTGAGCTAGTGAGATGCCCCTCTTGGCTCTTCACGTGCTATAAAATGGCATGAATTAGTCTTGTTCAGACTGTTGGCCCTATGCTTAGACTCCAGATCCTTCTGAAAACCTGGTTCCCTGCCATGTCTGTCTTTGTCAGATGAGCTGCTTCAGGAACAGCGTGCAGACATGGACCAGTTCACGTCCTCTATCTCAGAGTCCCCTGTGGACGTCCGGGTGAGCTCTGAAGAAAGTGACGAGATCCCGCCATTCCACCCCTTCCACCCCTTCCCGTCCTTACCTGAGAACGAAGGTGCGTATGGTTGGCAGTGCAACTCCTTGGCGGTCGGGTGGGGGCGAGGGAGGGGTGGGGGCAAGAGGGAGAAAACCGGTTAGAAAATTGAAGTCAGATTTTTGAACCTGGATTGTGATGGGGAGGTTGTGTTCCTAGTGAAAGTCAGGCAGGGCAAGGGAGACTCGATTCATTGAGTACCTACTGTGTGCAGGCACCATGGTGGGGGCTTTCAGATAGTTGTTTCAATATCACCATAAGTTAGTTAAGTTCTCACATTTTGTAGATGGTTTGCTTAAAGACCACGGTTTTTTCTGGGCCTATCAGCTACCTCCAGTATATGTAAAACCTTACACGTGGAAGTCACTTTACCGTTTACAGAGCACTTTTATGTTAATTATGTCCTTATCTTTTCGTAGTGGTCTTGGGAGTCAGGTAATGGAGAGGCCACAGAGAGGGCACGGCTTGCTCTGGTGCTAGGTGGGAGCAAGGGCTGTGTCCCTCTCCTTCCAGTCGGGCGTGCTTTCTCCTGCTTCCTTGCTGGTTCTTGGTATCAAAATGCAGTCTGCACCGGAAATGAACAAGCTGAGTGAGACAGGCTCCCTGAGACCAGGGTGCAGAGTCAGATTCTATTTGTCTGCTGCTGATGGTGGTGGTGATAAGAGTAGTGGCCACAGCTATGGAGTCCTTAGCGAATGCCAGCTTTAGCTAAGCGTCATTCGTGGATGCTGTCAGTTAATCCTCAAAATAACCCTCTACCAGAGTTTCCCCATTTGGGGGTTCCCAGGTTTAAAGAGGTTACGTGTCTGCCCAGGGTCATGTAGCTTGTAGGTGGAGAGTAAGGATTTGAACCCAAGCTGATTCAGTCCTGCAGTCCTGTTACCAGATACAGTAGTGCTGGGCGGCCCGAGGAAGGCATTACTGGGGAGGAGGGAGCCTTCAGACCTTAATCGCCTTTTAAACTAGTTACCAACTCAGTTGACCCTCCAGTACCACACAGAGTCTGAGAAAGAGCTCAATGAAGAGGCACCACTGACTTCCTAAACCTGCCCTGCGAACCCCAGACTGCCCCAGTGGTCGTGCTTACGCAGCTCGTTGGATGGGGTCATTCGGACAGATCTGAAATAGGACCTTGAGTCCTTTTCAGAAAAACCATGATTGGTACCAACTTCTGATTTTGTTGATTTTCTACGGAAAAGAACACTATGGACTTAGCTAAATAATTTGGGAATCTCACAAAGTTATCCCTGAAAGACCCATGACAGACCTACTTTCTCTCCTACCGTCCAGCCATTACTGCTGCTCTGTTTATGGGATATTTCAGGCCAGGTTTTTAAGGAAGAAGACTTAGTTCCATTATAGAGGAATTCTAAAGCAGGAATTTGAAAGAAGCCACTTTCCTTCTTAATCTCCTTTTGTGCTATTTTGTTTTTATTGTTTTCCTTTTCTGCTAGACACCCAGCCGGAGTTGTACCACCCAATGAAAAAAGGTTGGTTTGTTAGAGATGTTCCCTTTAAGATCCTCATTCCTGTCACTTCCCCAGTGTGTCCTTAGTCTCATGTTCTGTTTCATAACATCACTGATTTTTTCCACCTCATTTCTTCAGATGTGGCTGTGCGTGGGGCCAGAGTAGTCCTGTCTCCAGCATCTAGAATTCAGGGTCGGTGATCTTGGTCACAAGGTGGCCACCTTGAGCTTTCCCTCTGGACATCCAGAGAACACCACAGTAACCAAAGAGATTTTTCATAAGTCCTTGTAATCCAGGCAGACTTTGAAAAGTAGGTCCAATTTAAACAGGTTGGTTGCAGGTTGCTAGTATGCAAACAAATAGGCTTAATTTCAGGTCAGGTAGAGAGTCTCTTTTTTTTTTATCGCTTATTTTCTTTGCTGCTCCCACTTACATTTTTCCCCTTTTTAGCTCTTCCTTGCCCTTTGTCTGTGCCCAGCTCTCTATTGCCAGTTGTCTTGTGCCCCTGAGTTACAGAATTAATCAAAACTGATGGATGAAACAGGTGGAGATTGGTGAACTCTTGCCGGTAGTGAGTCTCCAGTTTTCAGAAAAAGTCAACATTATGTAAGCACTGTAGGTGGGATTTTTAGTTCTCTTTTATAGAGTAGGTGGTTGAAGAAGCCTTAGAAATTACAGGACTTGCTCAAAGTCATGAGTTTAAGAGGTGCAGAAACCAATTTGAACCCAGCTCCTCTGTCTTCATAGCCCATGCTGTTTCTGTTACTTAAAAGGCCAGTGTCACCTGCTGAATTCCCCCAGGTTGTTGGGTTGTCCACAGTCTCTGTGAGTCAGTTCAGATGTTTTGTGTTCTTAGTGTGTGTTCGGCGAGCCCACTCTAGGCTTGCAGGCCCGCCGTGGGTGGGCAGGTGGTGTTCCCTGGCCAAGCCTGTGGTGGTGGGTGTGCCACAGCTGATTCTCAGGACCTAAGAGCACGATTTCCGTCTTCTAAAAGTTGCTTCTATGTTAATGCTTCATTTTATTCTACTAGGACATACCTGTTCATCACTATGGTAACATTCCTCTGAACAGCACATCTTAAGATGATTATAGATCGAGATGAATTTTTTAGAAGGTTAACTGGCTTTCGCTCTCATATCTGAACTGCTATTAAATTAGTTGGGATAATTTAAACACTAACTTTTGGTCTCTTAAAGATGCTTGTTTATGTGTTTTATAAGATCAAAATGGTTTTGCTTAGCGTTTAAGAAACACATGGGTTATGCCACCAAAAAGTATTAGAACAGTCTGGACTAGTAGCAGGTCCAGTGCCACATTATTTTCCAGGTGGGATCCTGCCCTTCCGGCCTTCACAGCCTTGAGGCGATCCTGAGAAGCAGTGGTGGGAGGAGCTCAGGTACGGGGGTCAGGCTGGAGCAGGAGCATCCTTGCTGAGGCAGCACCGTTCCTCTGTCAGTGGAAGCGCCCTGTTGCTGTTTCACTGGCATTTGAGACTACAGAAGCCACCCCTGGTTTAAATTACCCTAGAATCAAGTTGTGAAATTATTCTTCAAAATGAAAGCCTTAGAGAAAGCGTGCGTCGTTGCTGTGTTCTCCCGAGTTACCGCGTCAGCTGGCCTGCAGGATGGGCCTCTGCAGCAGCTGTTTGAATCGCTCCGTGTCAAGAACAAGTCTGCTGTGAGCTGGACAGCAGGCCGGCCTGGTGTTGCCACCTGCCTTTGGCAAGCCCGGAGACAGCAGTGCTTTGCATATGCTCTCGAGTGACTGTTACTCACTTGCAGGTGGTCACTTTGAATGCCGAGTATCCTGTCGGGCTGGTCTATTTATAAAAGGTTCAAATCATAGACGTTTATATAGAACCGTAGTGGTTATTATTAATGAGAAAGTGTTAGGATAGCTGGAAATCACATGCGTTGGAGCTAAAAATAAAGAGGCTTGCTCCTCACTTTCCTCTCACTGGGGTTGTGCTGGCTTCAGTCATGCTGCATCGTTGGATATGGTTTGCAGTGCCACGCACAAGTGACGTTGGCTCAGGCCATGTCTGACCTTGACAAGAGGAGTGTTGCTATTTTCTTGCTTCATTTATAGAAAGGTAAACCTTCCACCCTGGTGTTAGGATTCTGCCTTTTTATGGAATACTCTCGTCCTGTTCATTGTCTAGTAACTATTGAGGATGTGACCATCTATGATCTAGGCCCTGAGAGGGTTACAGCCTGGTGGGAAACACAGGAGAAAATCAGTAATTACAGACAGTGGTTTAAAGTGCTGTAACCTGGGCATATCTCCCAAGAGGAGCTGTAGCTTGAAGGACAGATAGGAATGGTTGAAGGTCAGGGAGGTTATTTCAGGCAGAACGAATTGCCTGTGGGATAAAATACGATGCCCGAGGCAAACATGCAAATTCATTGCTCATCTGACAGTTGTTTGTTGGAAGGGAACCCCAGCTGCGGAAGGGGGAGATGCTTGGTGATGTCACCTAGGGCGTTCCATGGGTTCCATGCTGGAATGCCCATGGGCTCAGCTTCCGTTTCTCTTACAGTGAACAGTGTCTTCCGAAGGCTTGCATTCCATCTTTCCAAGCTGGGTACAGATAAGCACTCTCTCTTCATTGTTCCCATCAGCCCTTTGAAAAATGCCTGTTTCATTCATCCTTATAGAGTAGAGCACAGTGCTTCCTCAAACATGGGAGCCAAGTAGCACATTGAGTTGCCGGGGGAGGCATTCCGTGGGCTCTGCACCCTCAGGAGGGAGTTGGCTACTCTGTGAGAAGCACAGGTCTGCGAGTCTCGGAGATTCAAGTGTGATCTCTCTCCACACAGGCTCTGGATTGGGAGAGCAGGACGGAAGATTGATAGGTGCCGAGGAGAAAGTGATTAACAGTAAAAATAAAGTGGATGAAAATATGGTGAGTCATTTCTCTCCTGCCCTGCCCTGTTTTAATTTTGAGAATAATTGGTGTGAGTGACATTGTTTGAGATGCTTTGCAGGTGCCCCGCCATGTGTTCCTTGTCCATGTGGTAGGAGGTGGGCGGGCTCCAGCTGCTCCCACAGGTTTGCTTGTTGTTTAGCCTCTGGGTATGAAACAGAATAAAGAAGTGTTTTTCAGTAGTAGCTCATTTCTTACTATGAAGTGGGAAAATATATTTACAACTAAAGAGATGAATAAACTATGAGAGGCCATTTTTAAGTGAGTGGCGATTTCATAACTTGAACATGGAGTAGAACTGGTGTTGATTCTAATTACTGCCTTAGGTTTATACCTCTTGTTAATTATTCGGGCATTTTCTAGCATTTACAGTTCCGGATTATTCTTAACTGAGTTTGATGTTTCAACTTGGCTTCCTGGTAATCTGTCCTGAAATACTCTTCCACAATAGTGACCTAAAGGAAAGTGCAGGCGGAGGCCCTCAAGGGACCCGTTGCTTTACGTACTCTCGCATCACACTTGCTTCTTCCTGTGGGGGTTGGTGAGTGGATGTAGATGGGTGTGACGGAACTGATGGGTAGTGGATGCCCGTCGGTGTCTGCTTCCCGCCACCAGATACACATGGATTTCTGTTCACACTGATTTCCCCTCCCACCCACTTGCTGACACTTTCATATTGTTTCAGGTCATTGACGAGACTCTGGATGTTAAGGAAATGATTTTCAATTCTGAGAGAGTTGGAGGCCTTGAGGAAGAGCCGGTATGTGTTTAGCTCCAGAACCCAATGCCAGGTTAATCTCCATGGAGACTGGGACAGCGGGGTTCTCCCTTGTGGGTGGTTACCTGGAAAGCCAGGTCTGGGAGCTCCCTGGGTCTTAGAGACGCGACGGAAGGAGCGCGGCCCTGCGTGAGCCTGTCCCTGGGCTGCTGCCTCTCACACTGCGCAGATGGTCCCCGGGCTTTGCAGCTCATCTCCTTTGTTATTTTAGGAATCTGTGGGGCCACTGCGAGAGGACTTCAGTCTGAGCAGCAGTGCCCTCATCGGCCTGTTGGTCATTGCGGTGGCCATTGCTACGGTCATAGTCATCAGCCTGGTGATGCTGAGGAAGAGACAGTACGGCACCATCAGCCATGGCATCGTGGAAGTGAGTAGCTGGGCACTCTCCCGACCTGGCCTGCGCTGGCCGAGCTCCGCTCGCTGCTGTCGGGAGCTTACAGGGCTCCGGTGTCTGTTCGGGGTACTTCGCGGCAGTTAGATCACTCTCTGGATTTTGGTCACGTTTTAGAAGTCAGCCCCAAATGAATTATGTTGATTCAATGGCAAAGGGCTATTGCCGACTTTTAATATTAATTTTGGGCTTTGACTGTGAATGTGAGGACATCATAAAAGCATTTTATGTTGCAGAGAGTTTATTTTCTCGGATTACTTCCTTAGCGTTTCCGTTTTCCAGGTATGTTAGATATTTGAGAAGGAAAGGCTGTAATACCTTCTTTGTTGTTGTTGACTTGTTTAAGGAACAAACCAGGTCTGTGACAGATCAGGCAACAATGACACTCATGAGAGAGCTAAATCTTAAAAAATGAACTAGGACTAATAGTCTTTTTTTTTTTTTAATCTTTACCTGAGGATATTTTCCCATTTATCTTCAGATAGAGTGGAAGGGTGGGAGGGAGAGAGGGAGACATCGCTGTGAGACACACTGACTGGCTGCCTCCCACACGACCCTGACCAGGCCGGGACTGAACCGCAACCAAGGTACGTGCCCTCAGCAGGAACCAAACCCGAGTTTCTCTGGACCGCAGGCCGACGCTCTAACCACTGAGCTAAACTGGCCAGGGCTATCTTTTTTAAAGGAGAAAAAAAGGAACAGAAAATTTAGAAAGCCAGAACAGACTGTTTCTCTTTCATCTTCTGCTGATTGGCAATTAGAATTGCTTACCACTTGTTTTTCGTGGGTAGTGGAAATGTTCAGTCTCTTGATTCTAGAAAATGAATACAATAAAGAATGTAGTGCCCTGGCCGGTTTGGCTCAGCGGTTAGAGCGTTGACCCACGGCCCAGAGAGTCCCGGGTTCGGTTCTCGCTAAGGGCACGTACCTCGGTTGCAGTTTGTCCCCAGCCCCGGTTGGGGTCATGTGGGTGGCAACCATTCATTGTGTCTCTTGCACATTGATGTGTCTCTCTCACATCGATGTTTCTCTCTCTACCTCTCTTCCTCTCGCTCTCCCTCCCACTCAGAGGATAAATGCAAAAATGTCCTCGGGTGAGGGTTCAAATAAAAGAATATAGTGCCCTGGCCCATGTGGCTCAGTTCACTGGGCATTGACCTGTGCACTGACAGGTCACCAGTTTGATTCCTGGTCAGGGCACATGGCAGGGTTGTGGACTCAGTCCCGAGTAGGGGGTGTGCGGGAGGCGGCCAATCAATGTTTTTTTTCTCTCTCTCTCTCCATGTCCCTTCCTCTTAAAAAAAGAAGAAGAAGAATATAGTGTGCTCTGGAAAATTAGTTCAGATGTATGTCTTAGTTATCAGGTTCGTCTCCTGTTGGGTAGGGACCTAGTTTTAGAATTTCAAAGCTGGAAAAGCCCTGTATCATCCAGCCTCAGTCCTTGTTTTATAGGGCTGCTCACTTAGGCTGCCCCAGATGGTTAGCAGCAGAACTGAGACTTGCTTGTTACTGTGGAGCTGGGAAATTCAGTTCACTGTGTTCTCCAACTTGGACTAAGCTTTCAGAACTCTAGCTTTCAGAAGCATTGCCTCTCGGACCCTCCTCTCTTTCCTCATCCTGTGTCCTCACCTCCACTTGTTTGGTTCACCCAATAGAAATGACGCTGAGCCCGGCCGGTGTGGCTCAGTGGATTGAGTATCGTCCCATGGACTGAGAGGTCCCAGTTCAAATCCTGATCGGGGCACATGCCTGGGTTACGGGCTTGATCCCCTGTAGGGGGTGTGTAGGAGGCAGCCGACTAATGTTTCTCCCTTCCTCTCTCTCTAAAAAAAATCAATAGAAACATATTTAAAAGAAAGAAAGACAGAAAGAAAGAAACTGGATGCTGGGCTGGTTTTGGTTGGTCCCTAGGGGCTGGCACAGCAACCAGCTCAGGTCTGGACTCTGCCATTCTCTGAGGTTCACTGCATGATCCACAACCTTTGCTCCTCCAGGTCGACCCAATGCTCACCCCTGAAGAGCGTCACCTGAACAAGATGCAGAACCATGGTTACGAAAACCCGACCTACAAGTATCTGGAGCAGATGCAGGTGTAAGTGGGAGAAGGCGCACATCCCCCCATTGGAGTTGGGGTGCAAGTGGGCCAGAAGGTCCAGTGTTTTGGATCGACTGCTGACCAACAGTTACTTCCAGAGGATTTCATGTTACGTTCAGACCTCTTGGATGATTAAGACTATAAAGTACTACTGTAGGATCACAATTTCCATTCTTTTAAATGGGTGAAAAAATGTTAATATAACAATATATGATATATAAACCTTAAGTGAAATGAGAAAATGATCTATTGCAGATATTTGACTGATGTAGTTTTCTTTTTTAAATTAATCAGGCATCCCACTTCTCTCGTATTGTCTCACACATGCCCTGTAGACATGGACATCTGATTTGCAGTGATAAACTGTACATGCAGGTCGTTTGTTCCAGTTGCATTGTATAAGTCCACTAAGGCTCATTCCCTGTCCTGGTTTCTATTTTTTTAAAAGGCAGTATTTCCCTTTTAAATGAGCTCTCAGAAAGTTGCTGAGAAACTAAGAAAAGTAGGGAACTGTAAGACCATTGAGCACATCTGATGCCCTCCCAAAATTTTTCTAAAGGACCAGTTTCTTGGGAGTCTGGTGTTCCCACTGCTGGGTACCTTGGTGTTTCCACATAAGCCCTGTCACCAAGCAGGTTAAAAGCATTTGCGTTTCCGCACCTTGTAGCAAGCCTCATGTATACAGAATAGGGCGTCCACTACTGCTCTCCTTCAGAATCCAGTTCTTCCACGGATATTAGCCTGTAGTTTGTATATGACCTTCTTCACTGTCCACTGTTGACTTCCCATAGCTTTTTACAGCTCACTTCCCTCCCAAGTCATGTCCGAATGTGCTGTCTTTACCTCCTTGGACATCTCCCTCTGAAGGCACTGATCCCATCCCTCCTGCCGTACCTGACTTCCCTGCCCTCCCCTCCCGTCACCAGCCTTGTTGGTGTTCACGCAGAAGACTACTGTCGCAGGTGCCAGTGGCCCAGGAGAGACCGTGGGAGGTTTGCTTTTGTGGTGGGAGGATATTGAGATGGTCCGTAGACACCATGCAAAGCGGTGAGATTTTGTTTTCTTCCCACGAGTCTTTGTAATGCTTGTATAGTTGATGTTGATGCTCACAGCCTTTTCTTGTTTTTATTCTGAAGGTTCTGGTAACCTGTGGTGTATTTTTTTTCTATTTCCCTGTGACTGTTTTTTTTTTCCTCCCTTCACCTTATCCATGTTTCTTCCCACTATGCACAGATAAACTTCACCTACAAACTCCTTAATCTGATCTGTGGAGAATGTACAGAGTTTAAACACATCAATAAATACTTTAACTTCCACCAAGACTCCTTGTTTTATTGGCCTGGCGTTGCTCTGTGATGAGGTTTTCACCCTCCTGCCTCCAGGATGATGGGAATCTCCCTTCCCTGCAGGATTGCCGAGCAGGTGGGGCTCCTGGGTTTGAGGTCCATTCAAATAACAGGGAAAGTGATTCCAACATAAGGCAGGTGTCTTTTTTGACTCTCAGAGAAATATTCTTGCATTCTTGTTAATGCTTTCCTCCACTGTATTTTATACATTTTCTAAAGTTCTAATTGATTTGACCTTGAACCTCCCTAGTTGTTTCTTTTTAGATTTGTTGTATAATCTGAATGGTCCCTTTCCTTTGTCTTCCATCGTTTCTAGTGAATTTAGTCATCATATTAAGAGCTGCTTTCTTCTACTATTTCTACGAACATTCCTTCTTTTATGATGGTAAATCCATCTGAGTGTATGTGTTAAAATTTTTTAAGATTTTTTTCCTTCTCTAAATTACTTGTTTCCTTTTGAGCTATTGTAAATGTGTAGCAATTATTTGTTTGGTCAAACTTAAGAATAAGCCCAGCTGGTGTGGCTCGGTGGTTGAGCATCGACCCATGCATCAAGAGGTCGCCAGTTCAATTCCTGGTCAGGGCACATGCCCAGGTTGTGGGCCAGATCCCCAGTGGGGAACATGCAGGAGGCAGCCAATCGATGTTCTCTCTCATCGATAATTTCTATCTGTCTCTCCCTCTCCCTTCCTCTCTCTCTAAAAACAAATAAAGAAAAAATAATAGAATACAAGTTAGCTTAAAAAAATAAAATAAGAAAGTCAGCCAAGAGTTTCATATGGCAACATTTATTCATTTATTAATATGAGATTTTTCTTGGTACTGGACACAATTAGTAGGGCTTGTGGCTGAAATGTTTGCAGCTTCCATTTCTGAGGGTTTTTTTTTTTTTCAATTACAGTTGACATTCAGTATTTTCATTCCTGAGTTTTTAAACAACCTGCCATTAGGAGGCGATGTGTTCTTGTTGGAGGAGGTCCGCGTACTGACCGCTGCTTTCTGCACGGTGTGCCGGGGTGCGGTTCTCACCGTGCCGTCCATCTCTGAAGTCCAGCTAGTGTGTGGGACTGAAATCGGGCTAAAGTCAGAGTCTTCAGTCGTGCTGAGTGTAATGCCCGTTCACATATGTGGTGAAGTTAATGCAAATACGTGCCTGTGTAAATGTGTGTACACACGCGGCATATCTTCCCTAGGATAGTGGAATAGGGAGGGTGCATTTTCAGAGCCTCTGGCAGAAAGTACCTTGAGACAAACCAGTTAAACAGGTGGTTCTTTGGAACCATCAGTACTTCCTCATCTGCCTCTCCCTCCTGCGCTGGCCACCAAGTTGCTGCCAGGAAGGTCGTGGAAAAGAGGAAACTTGAAAACAAAATTTATTTTATTTTAGAGGAAGGAAGAGAGAGGGAGAGAAGGACAGAAACATTGATGAGAGAGAACATCAATCGGCTGCCTCCTGCATGCCCCCCCACTGGGGATTTGACCACAACCTGGGCATGTGCCCTGACCAGGAATTGAACCCTCGACCTCTTGGTGCATGGATCGACGTTCAACCACTGAGCCACACTGGCTGAGCTAAAAAATCTTTTTTTTTTTTTTATCCTCATCCGAGGACATTTTTCCATTTTTTGTACAGACAGAGTGGGAGGGAGAGAGAGGAAGAGAGAGAGAGAGGGAAACATCGATGTGAAAGGGACACATCGAGTGGCTGCCACCCACACGACCAACCAGGGCCGGGGACAAACTGCAACCGAGGTACGTGCCCTTAGCGGGAACCGAACCCGGGTCTCTCCGGACCGCAGGCGGACGCTCTAATCGCTGAGCCAAACCGGCCAGGGCTAAAAAATCTTTTTGAATCCAGTGTCTGCCAGAGTGCAGAAGAGTGTAGCCACTTAACCCTGTGCAAAACCAGCTGGAACGTACAGATCCAGCATCATTCTTCCAAGTCTAACAGGCCAGCTTCATCTATTTTCGTGCCTGCCACCTGCTAGCACAAAAATGATGAAGTGTCTCATTTAATTGTTTTAACCGGTATAGCATAGGCTTTCTTGTACAGAAAGCTGAGGTTTTCCCGGTCTGGGGGTAAGGGATGGAGCAGAGAGCCCAACCCAGCTGTCATCAGTCCCCTGTGCAGTATACATGTGTCAGTCATCTTACAAGCTGGTGAGTGTCAACTAGGACCTATCCACTGGTCAATGATGGACTTTGATCCATCACCAACACTGCTGTTGATGAAGGACATTGGAGAAGTTTGGGGCTGGTGAAATTGCAGTGACTTCTGTTTATACACATTCACTACCCAGACGGGGTCAGTACAGAGGCATTCAGGGTTAGAGCTGAACCAGGCCCACATTGGATTGGTAACAGGACTGCAGCTATGAGAGAGAAAGTCCTTTTTTTTATTTTTAGTTTTGAAAGAAAATTCCATGGAAATTAAAGTCAGGGGACTGGCTAGCATGCTTAGCTCTAGACCAGCCCCACTCGGTCCCCTCATCAGGTACTGAGAAAAACCTCCTCAGCTGGTTTCTGCCCTGGTGACTCAGCTCCGCGGTCTGTGGAATGTGGTCCTGCCCACCCTGCCGGCAGCTCTCAGCTGACTGTACGAGGTCCTCCCACTTCCCTGTCCTTGCGGTGACAGATCGGAGCCAGCCCGGAGTCCTGGTGATGTGCTCTGGTTTCGGTTGCTCTGACACTGATACTCTTATTTTAGGAGACCCACATTCAGATGTGACGAGTCCCTAAGATTTGGGGAGGTCCGGGGGTCCACTCTACTGTCTCTTGTTACTCGTTAGAGGAAGTGATAGACAAAATGGATGGAAGGAACTAGAAGGGCCCGTATGGCTTGTCCTCTCATTTTACAGCTATACTGGCCACACAGAGCCAAAGTCTGATATGAGCAATGGGTTCTGTTCCTGAGACTAAGGGTAAAGTTCTTTTAAAATAGGAAGGACAGTATTTTGCCTTGTTACCTACTATGAAAAAGGGGGAAATTGTGTCAGTCCTCTCTGGGCACTTAACATCAAGCAAGGCTTCACTGTCGCAGATGGTTAGTGTGTCCCCACTGCGGAGTAGCCCCAGAATGCAGAAAATGGACAGGAGACATAATTAAATTTTTTTTCTAGAATGGTGGGGGCATGACTTTCTTGAGGAATCTGGGAGTTCTTTGGCCACGTTCACCCAGATCTGGTTGAAATAAAAACATTGAGCCCTGCTGGTGTATCTCAGTGGATTGAGTATCATCCCATGGACTGGGAGGTGCTGGTTCGATTCCCAGTCAGGGCACATGCCTGGGTTTCGGGCTGGATCCCCGGTAGGGGGCGTGCAGGAGGCAGCCAATTCTATCACTCCCTCCCTCTCTAAAAAATCAGTAAGAACATATAAAAATAATAATAAATTAAAATACTTAAATCAGTGGTTCTTTGTGATTAGAGCAGCAGCCTCCATCAATAAAACACTTTTAGTATGTACTTTATATGTATTGTTATTTTAAAATTATATACATGTACTATCATAAATAAAAACTAGGGAAACATAAAAAGATTATTTTTTCCCCTAAAGTTTATTTGGGATACAAAGCCTTTTGGGTCCAGTGAAATATTACCAGTTAGTCCAGCAAAGTGATTGGCTCAGCCAGGTGGTCAAGGCCAGTCTCTCCACTGTGACAGGTCTTGGTGACAGCGTGTACCCTTGATGCGGTGTGATGAGCATGGCACTTTACCTCTGTGGTCTTCCTCCCCAATAACATAACCCCAGGGTCAGGAGAAAAATCCCAAAGAGGGGCTTCCTACAAAATACCTAACCAGTACACCTGCAAATGGCCAAAATCATCCAAAACAGTGAGAAACTGCTACACTCCACAGGAGCTTATGGAAACAGAATGTAATTTGGTATCCTGGACATAAAAAGGACATCAGGAGAGCCCAGTTGGTGTGGCTCCCTGGTTGAGTGTCAACCCATGCACCAAGAGGTTGCCGGTTCGATTCCCGGTCAGGGCACATGCCCAGGTTGTGAGCCCGATCCCCAGTGGGGGGCATGCAGGAGGCGGCCAGTCGATGTTCTCTCTCATCTATGTTTCTATCTCCCTCTCCCTTCCCCTCTCTAAACAATATAGAAAAAAATATTTTAAAGAAAAGGACATCAGGAGAAAACTAAGGAAATCTGAATAAACTATGGACTTCGGTTTAGACAGCGAGAGAAGGGAAACAGTGCTTGTCAGTGTCTCCACTGTGCGGGTTATCCTCTACCTCTTCTCTGGAAGGAGGTCACTGTGCCTCCCACACTTAAGGAGTGGAGAGTTATGCTTCCCCGTGCCTTATTTTTTGTTTTTTGTTTTTTTATCCTCACCCGAGGACATTTTTCGATATTTTGTTCAGATAGAGGGAGAGAGAGAGAGAGAGAGAAACATCAACGTGAAAGCGACACATCGAGTGGTTGCCACCCACACGACTCAACCAGGGCTGGGGACAAACTGCAACCGAGGTACGTGCCCTTAGCGGAAACCGAACCCGGGTCTCTCAGGACCGCAGGCCGACGCTCTAACCGCTGAGTCAAACCGACCAGGGCGATAGTACTTACTTCTTTGGTGAGGAGGGAGTAACCCACCGGTCAAGCTCCTAAACCTAGACTGGTGACCAGTGCTCGCTAAAAAATCGGTACTGTGTACTTCACGATTAATACAATTGGCTGAGCTGTGAGAGTGTCAACCATTGGTCGTTGGCACCAGTTCAGTGTCAACAGGAATCTTAAATTTGAGGTGCAGTGAAGAAAGCAGTGTGTTCAGTACAAACAGTTCAGTTGTGATACTGCATGACTGGAACAGCAGCACAGCTGTGAGGAAACTGAGGCAGCTAGGAGGAGGCCCCCTCAGCTAGACAGCTCAGCCCTGCTCAGGTACAGTCCACTCACATAGAAGTCCCTGCCCCCGGTCCCTGCTTGGCCTGTCCTCATGCAAATAACTCCACACCCTCATTTTG